AACCTTTCGCTATCTTATCCTACGCCGTATTCTCCTCCGCTGCGCACGTTAGCACTCCTCCTCACCAAATGGAGAAGACGACGACTCCTCCTCGGTCAAGTGGGTCCCACCGTACGACGGCGAGAAGAGAAGACTGGTGGACCGAAGACGCGACGGCGACGCTGGTCGAAGCTTGGGGAAATCGTTGCTTCAAGCTCAATTGGGGAAATTTCCGGCGAAATGACTGGAAAGAAGTCGCCGGCGCCGTTAACTCGAGACATTGTAACGGTCGTCGGAAAACGGAAGCACAGTGTAAGAACCGGGTCGAGACGTTGAAGAAGAAGTACAAGACTGAGAAAGATAAACTCTCTCCGTCGACTTGGCGCTTCTTTGACCGTCTCGACGTCTTGATCGGACCGGTAATGAAGAAATCTGCAACCGGAGTTGTCAAATCAGGGTTTATGAACCCTAATCTGAATTTAACCGGTTCGACGTTTATGGATGATGATGATGAGGTGGAAGTGAGGGAAGGGTCGATGTTTAGGGAGTTAGCTATGGCGATTGTGAAGTTTGGGGAAGTTTATGAGAGAATCGAAAGTAGGAAGCAGAAGATGATGATTGAATTGGAGAAGGAAAGAATGGAAGTTGTAAAGGAAGTAGAGTTACAAAGAATGAATTTGTTGATGGAGATGCAATTAGAGATGGAGAAATCAAAGCGAGGTGGTTCAGGTATTAAACTCTATGTTCTTGTAGTTGTAGAGCCTTGTGGTTTTGCTTAGGTGATGACTGTGTACTAGTGTTGATTAGATTAGATAAAGCTCCAAACTTTACATCTTGAAGATCTCAAACAATGTTACATCTTGTAGAGTAATTGACTAATTGTGGATATTGAAAAGTTTTAGTGCCTGCCTCTCTGCTTTTGAAGATATCGGAGTTGGTCAATGTACAATATAGTTAAGAGCTTATGTGCTTTCAATGTTCTTGCAAGAAAAACTTTAGCTAGCATTATCTTGCTTCTATTAACTTCTCTGAAGTTTGAACTGTCCTTATTGTACAGGCAAGAAATTTGTAGAAATAGATTGATAGAGGAGCTACCATGGTGAAGCAAAGGAGGAGATACTTGAATCTCTGAATCTGTAGGATCAAAGTTAGACAAGTCTTTAGTATGCCTTTTGTTTTCTTCTATTATTTTCTAGCGTTGTAGGTAGGGGTACATTGTTGTAATGGAGAAAATCTTCCCTCTTGAGTATCATTGACTTTTGTGAAGTGTTAAGGTATGTATGTATGATGATGGCTTGTGACCTTGTGAATAGAAAACCAA